TGACGCAGTGACGTGGCCCAGTGACTTGACGCAGTGACGCTATGCAGTGGCGTGACGCAGTGACGGACGCAGTGACGCTATGCAGTGACGTGACGCAGTGACGCGGCCCAGTGACTTAACGCAGTGACGCTATGCAGTGACGGACGCAGCGACGTAACGCAGTGAAGAGACGCGCTTTGGCTGACACGTGGTTCTGCTTCCCAACCGGTCTTTTCACCGCTCTGCCTCTCTCGCACTCACTGCCTGTACGTACGCTAAGGCGTGCGAGAGAGGCGGGAGACGACCGGGGTGGGCCGGGGTGGACCGGGACTAGCGGTACCGCCGTCACGGGGTCGTTGCCGCGACATGTAAAGGCCCCCTCCCCTCTCCCCGGGCCAGACCGTCCAGACAGTGGAGGGGTACGGCGGGGCGGGGCGGGGCGTTCACTCTCGCCGATGCCAGACGTCGCCGCCGAATCCTCTCCCCGCCCCGCCCCGGCCCTGACGCCACCAGCCACCTTTCCCGTAACACCTCGCCTCGCCCCTGCGCTGCGCTCTGCAGCCCGACTGCCTGAGTCTGACGTGTGCTCCTCCATTAGATATGAGCCCTGGGCGGGGCGGTGGGGGCGGGGCGGGGTGCCGGCCCGCCGCCGTGCCGTTGCACTCTGGGGCCCGGCCGGGGCTGCGCTGATGCTGCGGGGCTGCTGGAGATACGCCCATCGCTTTCGGGGCCCCCTGGGGGGTCCCCTGGGGCTTCGCCGGGCTTCGCGCTTCGCCCAGGCCTTGCCAGTCTTTTCATCCGATGCGCAAACAGAGTGACTCCACACAATGCATCTCTCTCGCACCTCTGAGGGACGCCCCATGAGTGAGAGAGAGAGAGAGTGAGAGAGAGAGAGAGAGAGAGAGAGTGACTCGCGGGTTCAGTCTCCAGGCTCGCCCCTCGCCTGCCTCGTGCCCCGAGTTGGCTGGACGGTGCGGTTGCGGCTGTCGCCGGCGAGGAGGGCCGGGGCGGGGGTGGGGGCGGGGGGATCCACCAAGTCTGGCAGTCTGGCAGACGCGGGCAAACGTGCAAACAATGGAGCAAGCCGCTAACAGCCACTCAGACGAGGCGCGCTAGGCAAGCAAGGCAAGGAAAGCAGGGCGGGCTGGCGAGGCAGGCAGGGCAGGCAAGGCAGGCAAGGCCGAGCGCGTGGCGGCGTGGCGGCGCCGAGCGCAGGCCGGGAGTGGGGCGCGGTGCTCCGGGGGTGCTTTGACCTCCAAAGTCTACGCCCCACCCCACGCGCCCGGCACCCTCCTCCCCGCGCGCCCCAAGACCCCCCGGCCCCCCGGCCCCTGTGTGGGGCTTGTGGCTCCTGCCCCCTCCCCCGGACCCAGGGACTGAGGGACCCAGCACCTCTAGCTGACCTCATCGTCGGCCGGGAGGCTGGAAGGTGCCCCCCCGACGAGATGTAACCTACATGATGGGCCCAGGGGGCCGGGGTTGTGACCGCGGGGACACCGCCAGCGCCACCTCCAAGAATTTGTGAATGGCGGGTTTTCAAAGGGGGTGTTGAGTTTTTAAAATGATTTATCGGGGGGATTTTTATTTCAATTAAGGCGACAGTGCTTGTGCTCCCCCACAAAAAAGGCCTTGGAGCGGAGGCTTCCATGGACTTCGCAGCGAGACTCCGCAGCCATCCAAGGCCGACATGTCCCCGCTGTCAAAGGGCCTCGCCCTCTTGGCGTTCTCGGGTTCGTATGGCGACCCGGCGACCCCACCCCGGGCCGGCAAGCCGTAGAGCCGTGTCTTGGCGTTCCCTCGTGCCCAGGCCCGCTGGACTCGCCCACTTGAGCCCGGTACCCAACCCCAACCCCTGTCCGGCCCTCGAGGCCCTGTCCCCCGTCGTCGCGTGCCGGCCGTCGTCAGCCGTCGTTGAGTGACGCAAAGCCCTCCGGAGCCGCGGCAGCCGCGGCCACGCGGTCCGTGAATGAATGGCTCGCGTGGGCTCGTTCGCCAGGGGCGGGCGCAGGGCGGGGGCTTTTTTTCGTTTTCCGATTGTTTCTCAGATTGAGAAGGGGTCATCCGGCGTTCGGCGGCACATTTCCTTCTAACATCTCTCTCTCTCCTCTTTCTCTCCCTCTTTTCGATGGCTCGTCAGGCGAGGCTGCGACGCAGTAGTACGCTTTGGCATGGGCAGATGCGATTTTGTGGTTTCCATCCCTTTGCCTGTACAGTGTGCGTGGCGGTGCGTGGCGCGTTCCCATGGGGCATTACGTAGCACGTATTGTGCTCTTGGCCTTCCACGCCCCTCCCTACACCGCCACCCAGCACCCAGCCCTGCCGGCCAGCCGCCCTGCCGCCCTGCCCTTACCCGACACCCTACAGCCCCAGTGCCCCAGGCCGGGGGCTGCGGGTGGCTGCGGCCGCGGCTGGCCGAGCCGGTGGGACTGGTGGGACGGGTGGGACGGGACGGGCAGGCTACACGCGCTGCACCATGGCTGGATGGCTGCACGTGGCAAGGGCGTGGGTGGGTGGACACGGCCAAAAGGGCCAAAAGTCCCCAGACTTCCTCGCTTGCTTCAAAACACCTAATTAGCTCGCCGAAAGCGAACTGACCCTGGACGAGTCTGGCGCAACTTTTTGCTGGGCGGCCGCAGGGAGGGAGTTTTGTCCAAGCTAGAAAACAACGCAGCACAACCACAGAATTCTGTTTTGTTTTCGTCTCTTCGTCTCGCCACCAGCGATGACTTTCAGCGGCCTCTTTGTCAGAATTCCTTGTAGAATTGAACATCTAAGAAGTCAGGCGAACATTTCAAAATATTTCAAATTTATCAACATTGGCCTGCAATATTAGAATACTATCGTAGACTACTCAGGAATTCCCCGGCGTGTACTTATAACACTCGGAGTGAATGCCCCTCGCTAGTGCCACTCATGTCGGTCCGTGTCGGTCGGGGCGAAATGTCATGTTGTGTCCATTGGCCGGGCGGGGCGGGGCGGGCAGTGCCGTGGGCAGTGCCGCGCCGCCCCGCCATTTGCACCCCGACCTGGCGAGTGGCGTGCTCGGCGTGCTCGGCGTGCTCCACGGCGTTCGTTGCCCCCGGATGGGCACCGCAGCACGGCAGCACAGCGCCCTCAGGCACCGGCAGACCGATTCCGAGTGCCGTTTTCGTCGCTCTGTCTCTCTCACACCTACACGCGACGCCCCATGAGTGCGAGGGAGACAGACCGACTCTCGGAATCAGTCTGCACTGCAGGCACTCGTCTCGGTCGCTCCACCCCGGCGTGTGGCCGCCCGCCGCGAGCGCGAGCCCTACCCCGAACAGAGCTCTTGCACGTCCTTGGGGGACGTCCCCTGAGTGTGAGAGAGACCTCTCGCTTAGATCAGTCGGGAAGGGTAATGGTCGATGCCGGCGATGCTAAGTGGCTGTGGCCCGGCGAGCGGGCCGTCAGGCCAAGCCTCGTCCAAGCCGAGTGGGGCCCCACCAGGGGTGGTTTCAAGGGTCTGGGGCGAGGGGGCCGATTGAGCGCATTTTGCGGAGTTCCACCCACCTAGGGGCATGCGTTGGGGTCTTCCTGTTACTGGGTGGTTTCGTTTAATTCCTGCATGTAATCTAAATCTCATGAAATTTCATGAATGGCAGTTCTTTGGGGGAGGGGGTCGAATGGCCCTCTCAAATAAGAGTGTTACTGGGGCCCAGGGATTTGTGGGCCTCACCCCTGTTCGGCGACCTTGAATCAAGGCTGAGGTCGCAGCAACGTTGCGTCACTCATCCCCACCCACCCCCTCGCGGGGCAGGCTGGGCAGGCCTGGGCAGGCCGGCAACACACAGGTGACTCCCATTACGCAAAATAGTTGCCTTTTTTGTCGCGGCCCACCTGCCCGCCTAGCGGCCCTAGCCGTTGGCCAAACGAATTCACCCCCTCCCCCTTTACCTCCATGCCGGTTACAGTGTGTCAATACCGCCCACGTCCAGCTTAGCCACCGTGGCCCTGCACAGCCAGGGCTTGGATGGAACGGGAGCAGCGCCAAGCCTCACTGTGCCAAGCCTTACTGTGCCGAGCAGTGCCAAGCCCACCGCACTTGGATTCCCAAACTTGGCTGCCCGCTTCGCCCGCTTCGCCCGCGAGGCCACGGTGCAGCCCCTCGCCGCGGTTGTTGACACTCGACCCGCTGCGACTCCGCGACGGTCGTTGGCGTTCGCGGTTCGCGGTTCGCGCCGCGGGGAGGGCCAACGAGTGCAGTGGCTGCAGTGGCGACTGGAGCGCGTGCTGGATAAACAGTGTCAACGCCCGTGTCCCCTCTCCCCCGCCCCCGCCGCGGCGCGGTCGGTCCGAGCGCTACTTCCGGTCGCGGCATCGACGGAAACGGTGCCGGAAACGGCGGCCGCCATCGTGTGGCAGGGGGGACGGGGGGCAGCGCGGGGGGCAGCGCGGGGCACACAGAGCATAGAGTGCTCGTTGCCGCCGGCCCGGTCTGCCACCGAATCGAACGCACTTACTTCCATCCTGCCCCGAGCTGGCGTTGCACTGTGGCACTGTGTCCTCGAGACAGGCGTAAGTACCGTGCCGTGCCGCCCTCGGGCCTCACTCAGGGTGGCAGTCTCGGTGACAGTGTTGCCCTGCCCGTGCGCTTTGCACGCCCCGCGCCCCACTCGGGGCACTCTGGCTCCCGTTGCCATGCCGCCGCGCACGCCACTGCTGCCGAGTCGATGTCGATGGACTTGCACGGCTGGGCTGGGTGTCGGGGCTTGGGGGTGCTATGCCCCCCGTGGTGCCCGCCCCCTCCCAGGCCACTAGGCTGGGCCCCACGGGGCCGCATACGCCGCATAGGGCTTCCGCCAACACCTGAGCTGCGATCAGGCAGGCGATCCCGGCGGCGTCATTGGCGGCGTCTTTGGCGGCGTTCAGCCGGCTTAGAGCTTGCCGTCGGATGGGTTGCCTGCCTGCCGGCGCTCGCCCCCTCGACCGCTCACTGCTCCCCTCTTGAGCTCGGCCCACGCTCCGTTCTCGTCGTGAAGTCTCTGTTTGCTGTGTTGCAGAAGGAGGACGACGCCGTCCTAGGCCGAGCCCTGGGGCCTTGCCGTCGCCCGGTGCGCCCAGCATGGCCGTGGACACGCTGTCGCCGAGCCCCGCGGCGCCGCTGCAGGCCGCGGCCGCCTCCTCCACCGCCACCCCGACGCCGGCGCCCCGCCGCCTCAGCCTGGGCGGCACTGGAGGCGCTCTGCACGCCGCCAGCCCCGCCAGCGGGCCGTCGCCGTCGCCGCCCATCCAAGGCAGCCTCGGCGGCCTCGGGGGGCTGTCGCCGCTCTCGACGTGCAGGCTGCGGTCCCCCGCCATCAGGAGGGTGTCGCCGATCAGGGTGACGCCCTTGCTGCCCGCCAACAGGATGTCTCCCAAGTCGCCGCTGCTCAGCCCCATCTCCTCGCCGGCCGGGGCGTCGCCGCGCCTGTCTTTCCAGGCCGCGGGCGCGTCCTCCGACGCGGCCAGGACGCCGCCATGGATGCCCATCGACTTGGGTGGCGCGGCCTCGCCCAGGGCCTCGCCCAGGCCAACGCCGACACCAACGCCCAGGCCGTCCCCGAGGACGCCCCTGCAGGCCACCGCGGCCGCGGCGGAGGGCCGCCTGGCTTCGTCCAGGCTGGTCCAGCTTGCGAGCAGGTGGGTTTGGGGGCACTTGGGTTTGTGGGGGGATGACGGTCCTATCTTAAATATATGGCACGGTTAGGTTAAACCAGTGATGGGCCCGCCCCTAAAAGAGGCCTAATAGAGGTAATGTTATGTTTGCACGCCGCCCGTTGCTCTTCGAGAAATCCGGTTGGCAAACTTCGGTTGGCAGTCTGAGGGTCGGGCACCCTTTTCTCATGTTGGTACCACTGCCGATTGACAACTTGTTGATCACTAGCACAATGTGTGTCTGCTGGGCCGCTAGACGCTTACGGTGACTCCGCTCCCTCACGGTCTTGCTTGGTCTCGCTCTTCGAGTGTTTTCTCTGTGGTCCATTCACTTTCCTGTGTTCCATTCCGCGGACGCTCTCTCGTGTCATCCCTCGATAGTTTCTGGAAGGAGCTGTGAAAAGGGCTTTCCATTCGTGGGGATCAAATAGTTTCCCAGGGGTTTAGCCAGTGCCGTCCGGTGCTAATTCATGCATAGCTTTCAAAGCTTCCTGGTATTTTAAAGAGCACTTTTAGGTTTCATCTTCTGCACAGATTCTTTTTGAGTTCGTGCAGCATACTCAACCCGTTTTGGGATGTCTTATCATCTTCGTAGCAGGTGCCATAGTCTCAATGGGTGTTGTGAACTTAAATTTCCTAGTCCAAAGCCTCAAAAAAAAAGGCAACGTGCAAAAAGCAATCATTGGTGAGAGCCACGGTTTCTGTCTGTCGCTTGATCAGGGGTATAATTTTGTTGTTATTGTTGTTATTGGTTGTAATTTAGTAAAATCTTTTTCTTCTCTTCTTTTTTTCAGTGCGGTCAGATCAGAAGACAGCACAACAGATTCTGATGTGTCTCACTCAGTGGATCGACTGACAGCTCTCGCAAAGGAGACAGTTGCTAGAGTTGATCGCATCACTGCAGAATCCTCTGCATCACTTAGCCAACCTGGCCCCATCCAAACTGTCAAAAGAGTAGTCTTAGTTAGTAAAGAGGAAGAAGAGGATTATGCCAGTATATCTAACACACATAGGTAATTTTTAAAAATTCTATTTTGTTTAGTTAAACATCTGGTTGTTGTAACTTAGAAGACTTTTTTTTTTTTAATGGTGATGTGTGATTTTAAAACACAGGCTTTCTGGGCAACATGGAGCAAAACCAATTTCAATTCTGAAAAGAAAATCTTCTCAAGATGAAGGCTGTGTCACTCCCCCAGTTACATCTTCCCCATCTGCGCCTGATCAGGTTTCTCGAAAGAATGGTATTCTCAAGAAGTCTGGAGGAAGTTTGGATGAATCTCATTTACGGAGAAGCTGCTCACCTGATGTAGAAGCATCTGGCTCAATTTTGAAGAATGGAAGAAGCAGAAGATCATCTCTTGAAGAAAGTACAAATAAACAATCAATTTTAAAAAAGAAAGATGGAGATGGACCTCATGGTATTCTTAAAAAGAAGAATTCTATTGATAATGGGTCTGAATTTAAGCATATGTCCCCTCATGCTGCTAATGGAGAGAAGACTTTGCAGCAAGATGATGAGGTGAAACCGATTTTGAAGAAAAGAAGCAGTGAAGACTACCCCATTGCCGAACCATCCTCTTCCTCAGATACTCCCCCAAGACCAATCCTGAAGAAAAAGTCCAGCACTGATACTGATGAAATGGATGAATGGCCTAAAAGGACAATTTTGAAGACCTCACACAGAAAATCTAGAGATGAAGATGATGAAATTTCTGAGATCTTCAGAAGGAGATCTGTGGGTTCACCCCCGTTAATGGAAGCAACAGGCCAGACACTTGCATTTTGTGATAACATAGAACAAAGCTCAGATTCAGAAGATGAACTCCAACCAAGAGCTTCTAATTCATTCTCTTCTGTAAGACCAACTAGTCCTTCTGGCCCTCATAGCGATTTCAGTTCAGCTTGGAGAAGATGGGACTGCAACTCAAGCCATGGTCCGCAAGAGAACCGACCGGGCAGCCCTCCTCCTGTATCGGATGGGATGACAAACATTGAGGGTGATTTCCACTCGCTGGGTGCTATTCCGAAACAACCACAGTTGAGAAGTGCACGGATTAGCCCTCAACCATCGTTGTAAGTTCTCTCATAAATATTATTTAACTATTATTTTGATTTATCCTCTCAGGGACATCTTTGATTGAAAAATTATTCAGTGACCCAATCAATATTTTTTTAAACTTTAAAATTGAACTAATTGGCAAAAATTATTTATCATATTGGTGAACAAATTTATTAAATTTACCAGCTCCAGTCATGAAATGCGCTGCACATCTAGGCCATGGCTCAGCGGGCAGAGCTTCTGCTAACAGTGCTGGCTTGGCTTTGTGCCAGAATGGGCGAGGGGGACTCCTCTCTAAATCTGGAATGGGAAAATCCCATTGAAACCCCAGGCCATGTTCAACCACTCCATACCTATTTTGGTACAACTCCCTTGCAAATATATTGTTGCCACCTTGCCTAATTTAAGCATATCATATTTAAAATTTGTCTTAAAGGATCTATTTTTCTTTATACAATTTCAATATGAAAACCAATGACAGTTTTTCTCCTCCTCTGGAAAACTTTCCACAGTACTCAAAGATCAGTAGCAGATTTTCGAGTAGGCACTGCACCATATTAAACTGATGCTAAGTTTACAGTGGTGGTGCCAGAATCTAAGTTTAGCGTGGTCAGTCCCCTGCCACTGCCCCGGCAGAGGCCCACCCCACCCCTGATTGTGCCTCGGCTACTGCCAGTTCACCAAATGTTGTCCACTCCTTCAGCAGCAGTCAACTTGTGTCCCTGAGAAAGTTAGTTTGCATTTAGCTGCATGTTCTCCCTGTGTACCTCAGATCTAAATATTATCTTGGAATGTTTGTTGTTTGTTGATTGCATTCACATTTTTAAAGAATACTAATTTTTTTGTCTGTGTGTTTTGTTTTCAGCTCTACCAGCAACAGGTCAGTCGCCTGTTTGGTACAGAATATTGGTAACTGTTCAACATCACCTCCACCTCGTTCACCGCCACCTTCACCATTGCCTTCACCACCAGTGTCATCGCCTGAGTCACCTCTTTCAACACCACCTCTTTCTCCACAAAATTGTCTCCCAAGGCCTAGCTCTCTTGTGCTGTCTCCTGAGTCCATATCAATTGAAGAAAGTTGCACTGCCTTTCAGAACCACATTCCATCACCTGTTGGGCCAGATGACTCTTGGGAGGCAAGAAGACATTCCACGTTTCTTGGTGCAACAAGCTGCTATCTGAGGTCGGACCAGTTAGGAGACAATTGGATTTTGAGGAATCGTAGTCCCTCTCCTGTGCTTCAGACGGATGACCGAAATTCAAGTGGTCTCACCACATCCTATTCTGGGCAGCAAGAACAGTTGGCTACAGATTTAGCAAATGAAAGTGGTTTTGGTGAATCGAGCGGCAGTGATTTCATAGCTTCACTCGACAGGTCCTCTGGACCCTTAGTTTCTCCTGTTGACCAAGCCGGCAGTAGTGGAAATACCAACACAGTTTCTTTAGATAAAGGTGAAGATGTGCATGAAGATTCTCAAGTAAGGGAGCAAGACATTCATCAAACAGAACTTGTTGAGAGCGAGATGGAATCGGAAGAAGAGAACCGAGGGCTGCAAAGATCAGCTAGCAAGGTGTCAGAAAAAGCTCTCTTGTTTTCTCAAATGGAGGAGAAGATGAAACAATCTGCTGAGGAGGCTCGTGCTAAAAGACTTCCCAAAGGTAACTACAGTCTGCAATACAATACCTATCTTCAAATTGTTGTGTTAAAAGTGTCACTATAAAGGTAACATGTGATTGTGTTCCTTTCTGTTTCAGCTGATTTAAACTCCGGAATTGCAAGGTATAGGAATCGAAAGGCTGAAAGGGCTGCAGAACCAAATAGATTTTCAACCCAGCCAATCACTGTAAATGAGCTCAAAGGTGTTAAGCCTAGCCCTAATGTCACCACCAGTGCCAGTGAAACAAGTCTTGCTCAACCAGGTATGACTAGGTATTTTCTAAAGTAATACGTTTACTGACTGCCCTGTTGTTTTCAAGGCCTCTAAATAGCATGTTATGTTAGATTGTGTTTTTTTTTCTTGTTTTATTTCTTTATTTTACTTTTTTCTTGTTTAAAACTGTTATTTATTTTTCCTATTATTTGTCTTCAACTTCAATTTTATGGCTTTTGGATTTTATAATTCACATCAGCAAACTAAGTTTGCAAAAGCATTATGAAAATTTATTTTGCTTGTCTTTTGGTTTTTAATTTTTTGTAGTAAGATTTTGGCTTGAAGTTAATTTGCTTTTCTTTGTCTATGAAAATTAGTTAACCCTATGCTATATCCTGATGAGTGCAGCATTTTTTCTGATCTGTTTGTCGGACCTTGTGTTGAAAAGGAATCAAAGCTGCAAGAAAACGAGAACGATGTGGAAGTATTACTGACTACATTAAGTTCTTTGATACCATGTGCTTTTCAAAAGAAGTGAGCCTATCAAAGCCAAATAGAAGTCAATCAGTTTGCTTTTCTAATGAAGTGATTAAAGATAAGCTAAATACGAGCCCTAGATTTAGAAGAGGTCTACATTTTACCACTCAGCCTATCTCTGTTGCTGATGTTTTAGCAGCTAAGGCCTTCATAAAGGAATCAGGAATAAATGAAATAGGTGGGAAGCCTTAAACCTTTTTTTCTTTTCTTTTTATGGCTGGTCTGGTTTTAACTTTCTGTGGAGTTAAGTCTCTCCACATTGGTATGAGTTTGTGCATGTGTAGTGTTGAGTAGATTTTTAGCTTGGTTTTCAAGAGTAGACTGAGCAAAATTGCTATTTAGATAATTATTGTTATTATTATTGCATGTTGTAAGTATTCTTTATTTTTCATTTTGATTAATTCCAACTTTACTTTCTTGTTTTCTCTTTTTTCACTCTTCCACTGGCCAAGTAGACATTAATGAAGATGAAAATGATCCCTCAAAGCTCAGCCTAGCAGAGCGTGTCAAACTTTTCAACCAAGCAATGACTGCTGATCGCCTTCCTGTCATGGGTGCTCCTGCCCAATCCCAAAGCAATAGAAGGAGAGCACCTGCCTCACGCTTCAAAACTCAACCAGTCACTATTGAAGAAGTTTCAACCGCTCAGAAAATCATCAAGCAGCCTCCTGAGGAATTGATAGGTGGGCACATATACTGTTTCAAAAGGGTGGTTAAGTGTGTTGCAAGAATAAAGAACCAATCATTTGGTTTTTTGCTCAACACATAAACACTGTGGAATGTTGTGCTTTCAAGGGGTCCTGATAGGTTTTAGAGGGTGTCTTAAACTTTCAGCCTTGTTCTCAATTTGTGGTCTGCCCCGATTCTTCCAGTTATTCTTTCTGAGAAATTTGCATGTTTGACTTTTATTTACCTGCCTTGTAATATTTCATACTTTTTTGCATTTATCCTAAGTTAAGAGTATGAGTTGGTTCAAAAAGACCAAAATTATTTTTGTTATTGCTTTTTTTTTCTTTTTTTTTAAAAGTTAACTACCATGGTTTGTACTTGTCCTCACAGTATTGACTCCTGAAGTCTTGAAATGAAATTTTGTTGAATTCTATCCAGGCATTTCTTCAACCAAGGCGGCCAAGGAGCTATTTGAAGATGCTGCCAAAAACCTCAGCAAGTCAGTTTCTTCTAGCCGCTTGGTCAATACTTCTAGGAGGGATTCTCATTCTGAATCTCCAAAGAGAGGTATGTTCCCTTTTGCCATGACATATACTTTGGCAGACCTTTTCATACATCTTAAAATTTTTTCTGAACCTGTAATCATTATGACTGAGGAGAAAACTCCCATATCGTTACAATATTATCTGTGCAGGCATTTTGAAGAATACTTCTTCTTCTCTGAAAGAAAAGCATGATAGCAGTGACACTGATAATGATCGTGTAAGCTCTGAACAAGCAAACCAGGTACCTGGTCCCTCTAAACCAAGTGCATCTGTACAATGTGAATCTGGCCTTGATCACATAAAAAAAGTATTAAGTGTGGAAAGAGTAAGGCACAATAATCCCAGTCTAGTAAGTGAACTTTTTTCTACCAGTGCTCAAGTATGACAAGCTTATCAGTTTTGTTACATTCTTGTAACCTTTCTTATTTTAGAAGACACACAACGTACCAAAATCTGATCTCAGGAGAGCCTCATTTGAATCTCCAAGTCATAGCAGCAGTGAAAGCGACTCAGAATGCAGCAGTGATTCAGAAGATGAGGAGAATCGAGGTTCTATTCCCAGTCAAGAATTTTCATCCAAATCTCAGAAGGAGCCTCAGGATAAACAGCCTAGTTCAACTGTTAGCAAGCGGCCTGCACAATCAGAAAACAGTGACAAGGTACGCAACATGAAAAAAAACTCCCAAGAGAAAGAAAACCTAGGAGGGAAAACCATTTCTGGAAAGCATCTCAAGTTAAAAGGCATCACCATCCAACCTCAAGAAGCTAAGAAACTTGTCCTTAAAAAGCTAGAAGTATTGAACAAACCAAATGTCGTTACGACTCAGAATATTTCTGAAAGCAAAGAAGCCCCCAACTGCTCGCCAAATGCATTGTCTGATGATGGTGACACATCTTCTGGTGGGCAGGAGGTGCGGAGAATCATCTCCAACGATGCTGTGGCGCGGAGGCATCAGGCAAACTTGGCTCGACAGCAAGCCAAGAAGGAGAGGGAAGACGAGCGGAAGGAGCAAGAGCGACCAAGGTAAGTTAAAGCCACACTTTGGCGTAGCAAGCAGCCTGCTCGTTGACAAGCTAGACCTGGCCTTTGATGCTCATGTTTGTGGGCAGCAAATAGCACTTGTAGGACGGGGCTCTCGTCTCATCACTGCTGGCTGGCAGGGAGTGGGATGGGTGGGATGGGATGCAGGCATGGATGCACGGAGCACTCTGCGAGCTTCCCGTGGCGGCCGCGGGCCGCGCTCGCGTCGCCACATCGCGGCGTTGGGCGCTTCTCCCCTCCCTCGGGGAGCCCCACCGCCCCACCCCGCCGCGCCCCGCCCCGCGGCCCGCGGCTGGCTAGCCTCGCGGCGTGCTGCGAGTCGCGAGGGAGGAGGAGGAGGCCGGAGCTTGTGGCCTGCTTGCTGCTTGCCGCTTGCTCCGGAGGAACGAAACGAGGAACGAGACCAAGGCAGTCAGTCCTCGGCGTGCTGTGTGCTTCGGCGGTGGTGGTCGACGCTGCGTCGGACCGCGTCGTCGTCGCCTCGCGTTCCGCGGCGGTTCCGCGTCGCGTACTCGAGTCCCGCCTTCGCGCGCTCGTGTGTCTGTGTGAGTCGCGGTTGTGAGTTCGTCGTCGCGGTGACTGACAGTGCGACGCCCCTGCTCACCCCGCGCCGGCCGCAGGATATTTTGGCCGGCGTCGCCGAGCTGTCGCCGGGGTATTTTGGAGCTGTTTGAAGTGAGTGTGCGCGTCGATATTCTTCTGGCTTGTGCGGGGCGTCGCGACGGCTAGCTCGCCGAGGTCCTGGCCACCGTGTCGACGCCGTCCAGTCGTCCAGCCCTTCGTGGCCGGCGTCGTGCAGTGCCGAGGAGATGAGCTGTCGCCGTCGGGCCGAACGCGGGGAGGGAGGACGACGCGGTCCTCTTCCGGGTCCGGGACTTCCCCGCGTGCTGCGCGGCTGCGGCTATCACCCGGCCGCTGCGTGCATCGCGCTGCATCGCGCTTCGCCACTGCTGCCGCCGTCAGCCTGGGAGCTTGTGGGCCCTGTGCGGCCCTGTGGGGGTGGCCTGACTGAGCAGGGTGTGCCTGTGCAGGGTTGGCGCTTGTGAGGCCTCCTTCGTGCACCGCCTGCGCCGCGGCGGCCTGCAGGTGCAGCCCTCGGCTCGGCCCTCCCCGCGGGACTTACGGTGGGGTGGGGACCTCCCCTCTCTGAATTGGTTGCTGACGGCGCGGGCGCGGCGGCCGCCGCTTGGCGCTCTGCGTGGACTGTACTGTACTGTATCGGGATCGGAGAGTGGGCGACTTGCCGGCCGAGTTATTCGGCTCCAGCGACTCGCCAGCGCTCCAGCGAGCTCCAGCGAGCCGGCCCGGTCGGCTTGTTGTGGGAGGGCCGGGCGCAGCCGGGCCAGTCGCCCGCGCCCGCCTCGTCTCGCTGCCGACACCGTGCCTCCGGGGGACCGGGCGACCGGGGCCGTCTTACTTTTAGAGCTGTGGTCGCCTGCCCGATGCCCGACCCGTCTCGTCTCGGCCGGCCGCAGACGGGCGCGGGCCGCGCGGGGCTACACTGCCCGACTTGGGGCCGAAACGCACCAGACAGGCCTTACCTTAGCCCGCCTTAGTGGGCCCGACCCGCGACCCGCCTCATCTTTGAGATGGTCAGCAGGAGGGAACGCATGATGCTGCTGCACTGTACCTTCCCGATTCCCCCAGCTGGCACCAGGCCCGACCTGCCTGCCCTGCCGCGCCCCCCCTTCCAGGTGTTCGCGGATGTGCAGACGGGTCGCGTCCTTAGGGTTCTTGGCCTTCTTGGCGGCCCAGCCCACCGCGGCACTGTACCGCGACCCATCCCGTCCAGGTGCCGAAAAGGCGCTGCGTTGCCCTCCCTGCCGTGCCGGGCAGGCCCGGCCCCGCCGCCGCGCTCTTGGCCGCCGGGCTGTTTCCCACGGTGTACAGCCGAGCAGAGCGATGCCCGCGATGCCGCCCAGACGCACACGCACACAAACACACACACGCACACCGCGGCGCGATATGCACCGCAAGAAAAAAGTTGGCGCTTTGGAACGAAGGGGAGAATCCTTAGCAGTGTCACCGACGCCAGCCGCGGCTCGACCCGGGGCGCAGAGCCACGCGGAACGGGCAGCGGGGCAGCGCTTTCGTCTCCCTCGACCACGCCATTCTCTATGCAGCCGCGGTCTGCGTGTCGGCCTGTCGGCCTGTCGGCTCGCCCTTGCCGGGGGTGGGCCGCTGTATTATTCACCGGCATATCGGCCGGCCCGCCGTCTCTCTTGCACCCGCACGGCATGCCCCATGAGGGCGAGAGAGACAGGAAAGGACTCTCTGAGTCAGTCTGCGGACGGTCGGCAGGGGCGCTAATTTGGACGCGGTGGCTTAGCGGTGGCTGCACGCGGCACGCGGCTCAGGCGCTAATCGTGGAGACGGCGGCGTCCTCGCGGGGCCCGGCTTGTCCTGTCTAGAATCCTTAAGGACTCAAGTCTTGTCGGCGTGCCGGCCGCAATGTCTCGTGTCACGCTGTCACGTGTGTGCCGAGCTGGAATTCCCTCCCCTGCTGCCCTTCCTCCCCTCCGCCCGTCCTCTGCTTTTTTTTTTTGTGTGTTTGTTGGTCGCTGTCGTGCCGTGTGTGCCGCGTGTGCCGTCCCAGTCGATGCAGCCTAGCTAGCAGCCCGGTGCAAGCCGCACGGCAGCGAGGCAGCGGGCCGGACGCGCACCTTGGCCGTGCCTTGGCTAGCGTCGCCGCGGAGGTGCCCTCCCTTCCCCTCCCCTGTCTGCACAAGCTGCACGAGGCGGAGCGCGGAGCCACAGCGCACAGCCGGCCGCCCCGGCCTCCCCTTGCGCGCCGAGGGGTGGCCAGGGACTCGGGGTGGCGCGGCACGGCGCGGCACGGCACGCCGCGGGCGGACGGGAGGGGCGGCCGAACCTCCCCGACGGACGTGGACGGGAAGCGTCATGCAAGCGTCTGGAACCCGGAACGCGCTCCGACGGCGAATCCGTTTCCACAGTGCGTCAGCGCCGCGTCGCCGCGTCAGCGGTCCAGATGAAATGGCCATTGGCTCCGAGGCGGCGAGCGACTGTGCGAGTGGAGACGATCGGTCGGATGCACCCGGGCGACGCGGGGCGACGCGGGGCGACGCGGGGCCCGTTCGGCTGCGGTTAGATTGTTTGACCAGCTGGCGGGGCTCTGTAGGCCGATGCCTAACGAACAGTGCTCTGTCGCCGTCTCTCTCTCTCACACACGGCGGTCAACGGGGGTGCGAGGGAGACAGAGCGACGAGAGCCCCGTTCGGAATCAGGCTACTGCGCGTCGAAAGAGAAAGAGGATGCCGAGCGCTGCTTGCAACGAGGAGGCCGGGACAGTAATTGATCGAACGCGCTGGCCGTTCTGTTGTCGTTAATTAAAAAAGTGCCTCCGAGGGGCGAGTACGTACAGTCACTGCCAGCGTGGCCGCGTGCCGACCGATTTGTCGCCCTGTCTCTCTCGCACCCTCGCGGGGATGGCCCCGCGAGTGCGACAGAGACAGAGCGACGAAACGACTCTTCTGGGTCGCTCGGCGAGTCGCTCGGCTGCTCCGTGTGTGGCCAATGAACGCGGTGCTCGGCGGCGAGCTCCCCTTGTTCGCTCCGCGGCCGCGGCGTGCTCCGCGTTGACGGGCACCTTCGGGAAGGGGCCGTCGTGGGGTGTCGCCGCCTTGCTCGCCGCGGGGGCTTGGGGCACCGTCGGCGCACCATCGGCGCACCATCGGGGTCCCGCTAGTCATTGTGAGTCTGCTGGAGTGCGCGGCCCTTCGGCCAGGCCGGCCGGGCCCTCAGGGCTGCAGTGTCTTTGCTCATTGTTCCGCTCCGCAATTTGGGTCTATTATTGCGGCGGGCTGCGATAAAAGTGTCGCATACTTTCTCCCCGACGCCAAGGGCCGCAAGGGCCGAGGCTGACGCGGTGCGCCTCGTCGCGCCTCCACTGCGCGCCGCGCCGCCGCGCCCGCCGTGTCGCGGTAACCGATCGCGTAGGCAGGCGGGCAGGCGGTGCGTCGGGTCGCGACTTGGCGCGTTGGCCGTCGTGCAATTTGGAAAGCAGGAAGTGCCGCCGTGCCGCGTAACCAGCTTGTAGGCGCGCTGGATGGCGTCGGGATGCCGTCGGGGTGGTCCGCGTCCGTCCGCGTCGCTCGCGGCCGCGCCATGACCAACAAGTGCATCGCGGAGGAATGCCGCCGCCGTCGTCTTCGTCCCGCACCGGAAACGGCGGCCAGCTTTTTTCCACGGCCTCGGCCGGCCGGCCGGTTCGTGCATTTTGGTTTTGTAGTTTTGTTGTCGGTTTGCTTTCGCGAAAGAAAACGACTAGGAGGAAATAACAAGCCGTCGTGGCCGTTGCTGGCGTTGGACTGCATCCGAATCCGTGGCTCGGCGTCGCGGCCTGGGATCCACGCCGGTGGGGAGGGGCCTTTGTGTTGTCGAGTCACGACGCGGGGCGGGGCGGGGCGGCGCCATGAACTCTGCGCCATGTGTCGATTAGTATCTCGCGGCCCTTCCCTTCCCCTCCCCGCCTCTCCGCCCTCGGGATGGAAAGTCCGGCTGCAGCGCGTAGTGACCCCCACGGCGACCCGATCGGCCCGGCCCGGCCCGCCGTGTTTTCGGCCGAGGCAGTCAAGGAGGGCGTCGTCGCGGGGCGTTGGCGGGGCGTGGCGGCGCGGGGGCGGCGACAGTTTTCCCTGATTTGGCCGCACCGCGGCGCAGCCTGGCGCAGCGCAGATGGCCGCCGTTTTCTCCTGGCTGCCGCGCTGCCGCCAAGGCTGCTGCACCGCGGCCGCCTGCCTAGCCCTTGGCCTGGCCGCCGCGCCGTCGTGCCGTTCGGGGAATGCCCGCGCGGCGTGACATTGGTAGAAAGCCTGCGCGCTGCGCGCTCCACCAGCGCCGCGGCGACGCGGTCCGCGACGGCAAGCGAGTTGTTTTGCGGGTGTTGCGGAGCGCAGAGCGCATTAAAATGCTTGCGGGCGCAAAGAAGCTCGCCGCTGCGCCTTGGCGACCCTCCCGCTGGA